TTTTGTGTGGTGGAGGGGGAGATTTTTTGGGAGCCCCCCTAAAATGTGTATATGCGTGTGTGTGTGAAGGGGGGGGGGTCAGACTCAAACTAGTGCTCCATATATTTATTTTATTTATTAAATTCCTGTGCCGCCCGTCTCCCGGACAAGGTGACTCGCTAAAAATATATTTCGAGTCGATGTTAAAAACAATAACTATACACTTTGACGTGCATAATTTTATATAACATTCTCTTTCCCTAAAATTCTCTTAGCACTGTGTGTGTGTGTGTGTGTTGTATATTGTATAATATAGGGGGATGGGCGATGTACACATTTGATTAATAAAATAGTGTGTGTGTAGACACACACATTTATAAACACACACATACACATATGGTACAACATGTTTACTACCAGATGCATTCGCCTGTGCCAGAGACCAGAGATTTACTCTTCCATATAAATATATATGGAAATATATTGTGTACACAATACACACACACACACACACACATATTTATATAGAAGAATAAATCTGGCCTATGGGACAGGCAAATGAATATAGTAAACATTTATTTGTGTATACACACACAACTACACACACATTTATATGGAAGAGTAAATCTCTGGTCTTGATGACCGACTCAGACTGGATCCTAATTCAGCCTCCTTTGGTATACTTGGCACAGGTGAATGAATGTAGTAGTAAAAGTGTTGTACCAGGAATGGGGGCGTTCGTTGATTTGTTTATTATTATATTGTGAGCCACCCAGAGTTATAGAGAGTCAGGAGGTATAGAAGTTTAATAAATTGGTGGTGGTGGTAGTAGTAGTAGTAGTAGTAGTAAAGGATTAGTAAAGGTCAGTCTTTGTCCAGTGAAGTCCTCTTGGCTTATAGGGATACCTAGCTGGGCATAAGAAATAAGATCAATATTGCTTAATTGCTACTTATTACCGTACAGTCCCAGGAATTGAATTTTGATGCATGAAACAGTCATACTATAATATATGCAATATAAACTCCACACATTAAATATATCTACACTGTACAATACAAATGTATAGTTTACTATATATATAGAATTTAATACTATGTATAGTATGTGTGTGCGTGTGCACAAGCGCACTTCAAATACTCCCACCGTGGATCTAGCCATCTTTTTTTCCCCCTGGATTCTACATGAATCTGAAGCAAAATGCCTCTGTTGAAGAGGTTTTTTCCTAACATGAGTTCAAAGAATCTTGTGTCACTTTCTGCATTTTATGGCAATTTATAAACTGTAAGATAAATTAATGTCTAAGGTAACAAAATAAATTGGAGAACAAACTCAGTGGGTTTTGCTTTTCAGTGGACAATGATAGGAATGCATTGTTATCTTAGTCAACCACAAGGTGATGCTATTATACCATGCTTTAGTTTTCATTAAAAAAAAAAACAGATGGGTTTAAAGAAGCGCAAATAAAATGAGGAATAAAAGGGACTTTTAAATATATCAAAAAACTCTAAGAAAATATATGTCAATTAATTTTATGAAAGCTTCATATTTTTCCTTCATATCAGTTGTTTATTCATTCTCTTCCCTTCTACAATTTGTTTATCAATATATTAAAAATACAGTTATAACAAACAGGTTGAAGCATTTCTAGCAATTAAAAAACAAGTATCCAGCAGCAGCAGTAAAAAAAATTATTGTTAAAAGTTTCAACTACTAGAACATTTCTTTTGGGTACTCCCCAAAGAAGAATACTTTTTAAAAGTGGCTATTAGTTAGTTAGATGTGCTTCTTTTTAATTATATTAATATATTCTGTGTTTTGATTTTTCAGAGATTGGCATTTCTAAAGAGGATGCTCTAGAAATTTTAAAGGTAATCAGACAGGAACAGCAAAGTGATGGAGCAAAGCCTTCTGAGGAAGCAGAAACTATTAAGAAGAGTACAGCCCTGGAAGTGTTGGAAAAAGAACAGACTCAAGGATTCATTGTCACCTTTTGCTCTGCATTGGACGATATCCTTGGTGGGGGTGTGCAACTCACCAAAATTACAGAGATCTGCGGAGTGCCAGGTGTTGGAAAAACACAATTGTGGTAAAACACTACTAAAGCTCAAATTTCTGTAACTTCCCCCTTGTTTATCGTTCGCTGAAAAATCTTGGTGATTTTATTAACTGTTAGCAATAGCACTTGGACTTATATACCGCTTCATAGTGCTTCACAGCACTCTCCGGGCGGTTTGCAGAGCTGGCATATTGCCTCCAATAATCTGGGTCTTCATTTTACTAACCTCAGAAGGATGGAACTCTGAGTCAATCTTGAGCTGGTCAGGATTGAACTCCTGTCAGTGGACAGAGCTAATCTGCAATACTGCATTCTAGCCCCTGTGCCACCACAACTCTTCCAAGTTGATACCATCAAATCTTAATGAATTGAAATCACATGTTTAGTCTCATTTCCAAGTGCTTGGCATCCAGAAGGCCATTCCCAATACAGGTTCAATAGATCAAATGGCTGGTGAAGGAAACTTCTCTGTGAGAGGTTGGTCTCTAAATTTGGCAACATTAAGGCTTACAGATTTCAAATTTCAGAATTCCCCAGCTAGCGTGGCTGGCTAAGGAATTCTGGGAGTTGGAAGTCCACAAGTCTTAAAATTGCCAGGTTTGGCATTGCCTGCTCTAGTGATTAAGGCAACAGGCTAGAAACCAGGAGGCTCTGAATTCTACTCCTGTCTTAGAGATGAAAAACTGGCTGAGTGAATTTGAGCCAGACGCCAGGAGTGAGTGAGTTCTAGTCCTACCTTAGGTATGAAATCCAGGCTGGGTGACTTTGAGCAGTCTCCCTCTCTCAGCCCAACCTACCACACAGGGTTGTTTTGTGGGAAAAATAGGAGGAAGGAATATGTTTGTATGTTTGCCACCTTGAGTTATTTATAAAGATAATAAAGGTGGGATGAAAATCTAATAAAGAAGATGGATAGCTATTACCAGCCAGAACAAATAACTGGGAAAGAGTCATAACTGGCTCGATAGCAACAGTCTGACCTTAAAAGACAGCCGCTTAACCCTCATAGCATATGTACTACTAGCATTTCTGTCGCTGATCTCCTACAGTCTGAAAAATCTCTTGATCAGCTTTTGATCCTGCTTTACTGGCTGGCTTTCAGCAAATTCATTTCAGCCAGAGTGCCGCTTTAATGTAGATTATAATACTGGCTTCTCTCTTAGAAAGACGTAAGAATTCCTGTTACGGATATAATGGCTGGATTTCCACACTTGGTTGAACCCGTGTTTTGTTTGGCTTTGGCTTAGCTTAACCAAACCGTCATATGTAAAACTATTTGAATTGAATACCGTACATAGAGCCTTTTGCCACCAGGATAGTATAAGACCTAGGAAACGGCAGCAAGAGCTCATCTTCCCCAGGCAAAGATTTTCCTTCCTGTTTGTAAAACTAAATGTGGTATAATCATGATCAGCTAAGGATTTTTTTTCCATCCCATGAGAAGCCAGATACAAAATCAGGAGCTTTGGAGTGCTGCCTTCTTACTATTACAGGCAGTCCGACTCACTTAAAAACCACAATTTAAGCCCAATATTTCTGTTGCTAAGCAAGACAGTTGTTAGGTGAGTTTGCTCCATTTTATGACCTTTCTTGCCAAAGTTGTTAACTGAATCACTGTGTTTGTTGAGTTTGTAACATAGTTGTTAATGAATCTGGTTTTCCCCTTGACTTTACTTGTCAGAAGTTTGCAAAAGGGGATCACATGACCTCAGGACACGGCATAATTCATGCCTGTTGCCAAGCACCCGAATTTTGATCACATGATCACAAGGATAGCCATAAGTGTGGGAAACTGTCATAAGTCACTTTTTAAGTGCCATTTAAACTTTGAACGTTCACTAAACAAATGGTTGTAAGTCAAGGACTACCTGCCACTTTGTCCTTTCAGAAGATGTACATTCTCTTTACTTTTCCTTTAGTTCTGTCACATCCATCATCATTTATGGTATCTTTTGAAAGGCTCGCCTCACTCTATGAGTTCTACCTTTTCTGACATCCTACAATTTCTATTCATTTTTTACAGCCCCCTCCTTTCCTTTCCTATCTATGATTCTTTTACTCTTCAGCATTTTAGAGAATTCTGCACCTATTCCCCTTGGCCTCTTTCAGTTTCTCTCTCTTTCTTGTGAGGATTGTTGGTGACTGAACTTTCAGTACATCATTTTGCAGGTTTTCCTTCCCTTTCTGTACAATGTTCTTCATTGGGATTTCAGGACCATGGGAACCGACGTTTCCTTCCTTAAGAGTCCATCAAAATCTGCTCTCTTTCTCATTTCTCTTTCACCAGATACCATTAATTCAAGGATAACGTGTTCACTTTCCCCCAAGGTACCTTGTCATTTTCACTTCTTTAAACAATTAATCTCTGATGGTGAGAATTAGGTCCAGGGTGGCAGATCCCCTTGTTCTTTTTTTTTTTTTTAATACCTTCCGAGAAATGAAGTCGGCAAGCGAGAACGAGAATTTGTTCAACCTTTGACTCTTGGCAGATTCCCAGCAGATGTCAGGATAATTGAAATTTTCCATTATCAATATTGCAGGCCTCTTTGAAAGACTGGTTATCTAATGCGAATAGATCAATGGCTATTAACCTTGGTGGCGGTGTGACAGCCACTGAAGGCCATCTGCTGGGAGGCTAGTGGGCTTCCTTGTATGCTTGGTTGGCCACTGTGAGAACAGACTGCTGGACTAAATGGGCCCTAATTATGTTCTTATGACCCCATCATCTGCCTGTCCAAATGGTCAGTAATAAACTCTCATAATCCCATCTGGTTTTTGTTTCTCTCTGCTTTCTTAGAGATAATATTCTTTAACAATGTAAGCCAGAATCACCTTGTGAGGTAGGTGGCAAATAAATTTAATAAATAAACAAAGAAAGAAATTAAAACATTCTTAGTTGCATATTTCATGCAGGATTTCCATGCTCCAATTCCTGAATTTCTGAACAAGCGTATTTGTTCTTTACATTTAATTCAACACTCCCACACACACACACCCTTTCTGTTGAGTTTGTTCCAATAAATTGCTACTTTGCACTGCTATATATGCCAGTATTAAGTAACATCCCGCCAACTTTCAGCAATGTACCAATTGAAGAGAATATTTGCAGCCTAGGATTGAACTGTGAGATTCTTAGTTCTCTCTGAGCTGGGCCGCCCTTTTGTAGACTTTTTAGGAATGTACACCTAAACATATTTGTCTTCCTGATTTAGAATTTCCCTGTTTCTTTTCTGTACTCTGCATTGGTGTAAAAACTTCAGAGGTTTCAAATTCCACCTACAGATCTCTGTTATAGTGTCCTGCAAACCCCCTCATCCTGGTTCCTGCTGCTCCACTCTGTTCAGTTTTCTTGGCCCAAATCTGAGATATTGGAACACTGTTATCATATTGGTCCTTCTCTCTGTTAGACTAGACATACCCAATTCCTGCAACTGTTCTTCATATGCTAGTCCCTTAATCATCTTTGTTGCTCTTCTCTGTACTCTTTCTGAAATCTCAACATCAAATGTAAGGATGAGATTGTAGAACAGCTTCCCAAGGAAAGTAATTCTAATTCTGTAACAGTGCTTTTATAAAAATCTTGTTCCAATTTTTTTCCATTATATAATTACTTTGTAAGCCCCGAGTCCACGAGAAATGGTTGCAATAAATAGTATAAATGTTTGTAATAAACAGTACACAACATCCCCTCAACTGGCTTTTTCTAGCTTTTGTTGCTAAATGTTTTTACCAACTATGCTGAGGTCCTCCAGATGATATTGCTTGTCCCAGTAAAATATGTCAGAAACACTCTCCCATCTTCCTCATTCGTGCAGCAGCAGAGGGGAATTTGCAAGCCCCTATTTTCGTTTTTACAGAACCTGGCATAGTACAGTTGTTCTTAACCAGGGTTTGTGTCACGTTTTGTACTACTGTCTTGTTTCATGAAATTATAGTTTAGGATCACTCTCCATTTAAGATTCAGATGTAAGATTAAATTGCTTAATTGAAACAGAAGGAAAGACTTCTGTTCTTATAGTTGGGCCAGAATGAGAGAGGGAGGTGTTGAAATCTGGAATGAGGCTTGTTCCCATCACAATAAAATTATGTATCTGAGCCCTGCTATTATAAATATATTGGATTGCATAAAATGCTGAATAATAAGGTGCTGCGAGGCTTTGGAAATGATTTAGAAAAGGTAGCACCTCTCTGCAATTCCTTAAAGCAAGGGGCAACAGCAGAATCTCAGGGAAACCACTCCTACACACTCTGGAACACCTTTTCTGAATTATTTCCAAAGCTCTGCACAACCCCACTGAGTACCGTAGGAGTATTTTGTATGATGAAGCTGTTCTGGAAAAAAAGAAACCAGAGTAGATTACTTAAAATGCACTGCAATCTTGTTCATTTGCAAAATGGCAAGGTTCATCTCAAGCCATAAAACAGATGGAGTAACTTTTTCCTAGTTCGGGCCATGTTAAACTAGGTCCTGTTAAACAAATCCTGTGTCTGAATGATGCACACGCTTTGGGGAGTTGGTTGCGTTGATTTTACTGCTCGCAGTTTGTAGTCACTGCCCCAGGCTTGTTTTTATGCCCTGACATTGAGGTCTTATTGTAATTAATAGGATTTCAAAATATACAGTCTTAACCTATAAAGGATAATATTTGTATGTGAGGGTTGAAATGCGGGGATAGCTCACAGTTAAAATAGTGGACTGGCACTGATGATGTTACATAGTTTGGGTAATGAGCATGTTACCTAAACATCTGCAAGATAACAACCAAGCTCAGAGAGCACCAAGGACCCCACACAATTTTTATGGTGTAGCAGTGAAAGGCACCTAGATAAAAACTGGATGACTGAATTCTGATCCTGGCTTAGACATAATGCCATCTAGATGACTTTGGGCTGGTCACTCTCAGGTGTAAAAAGAAGAAAAGGGCAAACCACTTCCCCAAAATGTTGCCAAGACAACTGCAGGGACTTATCTAGGCAGTCACCAAGAATAAAGTCTTACTACTTCTGAAAAATCTCGAAAGGTGCTTTTTCAAGAGGCAGTTAGACTTTCTGGTTTTTCTTTGAAGACATTTCACTTCTCATCCAAGAAGCTTCTTCGGAGTCCACAGCATATTTCTTGTCTCCTTATTCCTTTACTGTTGATGGTTGCTCTTAAAAGGAGGATACTATTTAATACTTTGATATCTTCACTATCAATTCTAGGGCTGGTTGTTCTACCTTTATCATTAATTTGTTGGTCTTTATATTTAGAATACAGAATAACAGAATTAGGAGGGACCTCAGAGGTCTTCTAGTTGAACCCTCTGCTCAAGCAGGAGACCCTATACGATTCTGGGCAAGTGGTTGTCCAATCTCTTCTTTAAAACCTCCAGAGATGGAGCACCCATGTCTTCTAAAGGCAAGTCATTTCACTGGTTAATTGTTCTGTCAGAAAATTTCTCCTTAGTTCTAGTTTGGACCTCTCTTTAGTGCTCTTCCACCTATTACTTCTTGTCCTGCCTTCAGGAGCTTTGGAGAATAGGTTGATCCCCTCTTCCCTGTCACAGCCCCTCAAATATTGGAAAACTTCTATCATGTCAGTCCCAGTCCTTTGTTAGACTAGACATACCCAGTTCCTGCAACCATTTATTATTGCAATCTCTTGTTTTTTTTATTGTGCTTTTTAAATTCCATTTAAAAGACTTTTGCAGACCCTTTGCATTTCCAGCCATCAGGGTAGTAAAGCAATGAATCAATGTGTAATAACCTTTTCCCATTGATTATCAATCTTCTTTCCCTCTTTCTTTCCAGCATGCAGCTAGTCGTGGATGTGCAGATTCCAGAATGCTTTGGTGGACTTGCTGCAGAAGCTATATTCATAGATACCGAGGGGAGCTTTATGGTTGATCGGGTTGTGGATATAGTAGACGCCTGTATTCATCACTGTCAGCTTATTGCTGAAGTGCACCCAGAAGAAGGTTAATTGCCAAACTATATTTGCTTTTGTGCAAAGTGTGCTTTTTTTTCCCCCTGGTTACTTATTCAAACAGTTCCGTTTATTTCCTTATCATCATAGATCCATTCAATATTTATTCAAATATAGGAAGTAACTATGCCGTACTGAGTCAGAATGTTTTATTCATGCAGAATTAGATTGCAGTAATCACTATTTCTCAAACTTGGCGACTTGAAGAAAGGTGAACTTCAACTCCCAGAATTGAAGTCCACACATCTTTAAGTGGCCAAAGTTGAGAAACACTGACAGTAATAAACCAATGGACATTCCTAAATTTGGAATAAGAGAAGGGCCATTGGGCACTGAGCCTAGACATTTCTTATGCCCAACCAAAGCATATAAGATGATAAAGACACATAAAGGGAAAAGGCTTAGAAACAGATTCTTTAGCTTTCGATTCTTTGCCGGATTTTGCCAAAACCTGCTTGGAGGTTGCTGTATTTCAAGGCTTGCTTGTTAAGTACCCTTCTGGAAGGGCAGATTCTTAAGGTAAGTGAAAAGAATAAAGACAAAGATCTAATTGCAAAGTAATAATAGAAAACTGGTAGGAATGCTTAGTCTAGTGGTTAAGGCACCAGGCTAGAAAGCAAGAGGTGGTGACTTCAAATCCCGCCTTAGCCATAAAAACTAGCAGGGTGACCTTGGGCCAGTCCCTCTCTGCCCAATCCACCTCACAGGGTTGCTGTTGTGGGAAAAATAGGAGGAGGAAAGTGTGTTGGAGGTGTTTGTCACTTTGAGTTATTTGTGAAAATAATAAAGGTGGTATACAAATAAATGAAGAAATAAATTAAAATTTCCCAAGAATATCTTACGACCTCGAGTAGCAATCCTTGAGAAACCGAATTACGTATATTGGTTTCATTTCACAGACAGAATTCATTAGGGATTTAACAGCACTCTGAATTGAACCAAAACACAAGCCTCTTAGAAACATTCACGACTTGGAAAGGCATTTGACAAAATTCTGATTTTATGCAAATTTATGCAATGAGACAGTACAGAAAATTTGGGAACTGCAAGTGGGCTTTGTCAGGTTTTTGTGCAAGTATTTTCTTCTGCTCACGACATTTTTCCTCTATAATATTAGATGTTTTAACATGCAACAAGACATTCTTAATATTTATGTATTATATTTATATATGATAATCTAAACATGGTTATCATTCTGTCATAGTAAGTATAAGTTGTATGATTAATCATATGATTGTGTGATATATTATTACAACAAAACTACCACCAGCTATCTCTGGATGGAACTGATTATTCCCCATATTTTGCTCTATAAACAGCCTCTGTCTCTGAAGCTAGGAAGTGAGGGATGAGGAATAAACAATAAATTCAGTACAGGTTTTTATTGGGTTTTTTCCTTCCCTTTTTTCCTTCAGATCATCAAATAGCCCTGGAGACTTTCTCTCTTGAAAATATTCTTTCACATATCTATTACTTCCGTTGCCATGACTATATGGAACTGCTGGCACAGGTTTACCTCCTCCCAGATTTTCTCACTGGACACCCAAAGGTAAGGACCAAAAAGACATCCCCTACCCCCCCCGAGAGGAAAAGATAACGTATTAGAGTTGCAGTATAGGTAGTCCTTGACTTACGACCACAGTTAAGACCAAAGTTTCTGTTGCTAAGTGAACTAGTTGTTAAGGTATTGAGTTTTGCCCTATTTTATGACCTTTCTTGCCATAGTTGTTAAGTGAATGACTGCAGATGTTAAGTTAGTAATACAGTTGTTAAGTGAATCTGGCTTCATTATTGACTTGACTTGTCAGAAGGTCACAAAAGAGGATCAGGTAACCCCAGGACTCTGCAACCGTCATAAATAGGTTGCCAAGCATCCGAATTTTAATTGCGTGATCATGGGGGTGATCATGGTCACAAGTGTGAAAAATGGTCAAGTCACATTTTCCCCTGCCATTGTTAACTTTGAACGGTCACTAAACAAATGATTTTAACTCGAGGACTATCTGCAGTGCGTAAAAGATTTGCAGTTTCTTCCCAGTTTCTTCAGATTCACACAGTCTCTTTTTTTTCCTCATTTAAAAATAAGTAAGATTTGGTTTCCTTTGTGGTATTCTATAGAATTTGTAAGAATATATAGATAGTCCTCACTTGATGATCGTTAGAATGTCTGTCGCTAAGGATGCACTTATAAAGCATCATGTTACATGACTGCATCCCTTAGCAACGGGGATAACTGGCAGTCCTCAGTTATCATTGTTAAGCAAGGACCTCACATGATCACAACCTCAATCCTGAAGCTAACCTGACCGAGGCCATTTTGATGTTTCAGTGTTGTCACACTGGAGTTGGGTGGTGGTGGTGGGGAATAAAGATGGGTGGGTAGCCAAAACAAAATACTTTCTCCTGGGAACCAAGGACATTCCCACGGGTGGTCGGAGAGAGGAGGAGTGAAGTTATCAGGCAATTGGATGACACCTTGATTGGATCATGTGATTGATTGTTTGGGGAAGGGAGGAAACTTTTACTTTTAATTAGGTGAAAACCGCAGGAACTTTCAGAGTTGGTTTCACCAGTCTGTGCCAATATGATACATCCAAATAATTTTTTTCTTTGAGGAATCTATCTGCCTCAAAGTTACGTTTGCTATGGGCGTATTACTTGGAACCCTGACATCAACTTCCTACCAGTTTCCCCATTGACTTGCTTGTGGGAAACCAGTAGGGAGGTTGCAGATCACAATCACGTGACGGTAGGACGTCGTAAAGGTTGGGGATCCAAGCTGGTTGCTGAAGTCACGATTGCAATCATGTGACCACAGGGTCGCTTCAACTGCCAGAGCTTTGAGGATCAGCACCTTCGTAAGTTCAAATAGTCACTTAACGAGCAATTGTTAAGTGAGTTCTATCTGTATCCTTCAGATCTTTCAGACAGAATGTTCCTGAAAAGAAATCTTTAGTTTTAATACAGAGCTCCTAAGAGAGATTCCCCCATAAGTCCTTGCGGTCCAGATGGGAAAACATTTGTTCTCTTGGAAACTGCAGGCACTACTTTTGGGGGTGTGGGGGAAGATGCAAGAATGTGTTTGATGAAGTCGGGCAGGGGGAGAAAGAGAGAACTACTGCAAGGTTCTTGGAATTTATAGGAAGAAAGATTTTCCAAATAACGGTCTGGCACAGAGGTAACGTTTGTTCTAACAATCCCCTACTAGGTAGTAACGGCCCTGAGTTTTACATACGGAGAATAAAGGGTGGGGGTGCCAAGCAAAAGCATCCCCTTTCGATGGCAGCAAGAATTATCCTGCTGTTCCTTGTAGGGGGCAGCGCTGGGGTGTATATTTCAAGAACATTTCTGGGAGAGGAGGTTTGAGGCTTCCATCCTTTCCTCCTCTCAGCTCAGCCATGCCTCTGCAAGAAATGAAAATAATAAATTATTTTCCCTTGGCTAAATGTTTCTGGATGCTTTGACTTCCAGTTACAGGGCTGTCAGTTTTCTCTGTTTTCTAGAAACGGGACAGAGTTTATACACCTCCTTGTTCCATGACCCACCTACCAATAGGGCTTGGGACTTGCTGGCTTTCCCTGGCTGCGGGAAGCTGACAGGAGGTTTCCTTGCCTAATGACTGTAGAATTCAATTAACGCTTTACTTTTTCTCTTTTTAACTTTTGTCATTTTAATTGGTTACATTTTATAATTGTATTTTACATCCCTATTTTTTCCTGGCTACCTAGCATTTCGAAAGCATGCAAATGCGAGTAAATGGGTACCACTTTGGTGGGAAGGTGACAGCAGTCCATATTTTGCCGCACACTCTGCACTGCGGTGTGATGTCATGCTGGCCACATGACCACAAGAAATGTCTTGAGGCCTTTTTTTGCTAAGAAATGGAGATGAGCACTGCGCCCTAGAGTCATACATGACTGGACTAGAAAACCTTTAGCTTTTACCTTTTATTCCTATTTTATTCCATTATAAGCCTTGATACGTGGCATATGAATTTAATAAATAATACATAAATAGCAAGAGGACTTAGACTTATATACTGCTCCATAGTCCTTTCCAGCCTTCTCTAAGCACTTTACAGAGACAGCCTATTGCCCCCAAGAATCTGGGTCCTCATTTTACCAACCTTGGAAGGATGGAAGGCTGATTCAACCTTGAGCAGATGAGAATTGAACTCTGGCAGAAAGTAGAATTAGCTTGAAATACTGCATTCTAACCAGTGCGCCACCCCGGCTCTTACCTATCTACCTAAACAGCAGCAATGAAGATTGTAGGAATTGCTGTCACCACACAATGAGGTTGCTCTTTACAAATTCTGATCTCAGTTACAATCATAATCCAAGGACTACCTGTACAGGAATTAATATGTCATGAGTGTTATCGTGAGAATCTCAGCTGTTGGTTGTAAGAAATAAAAGTTTTAGCATGTCATTACACAGATAACCTTTTCAACATATAGCCAGAGCTCATAAAAACAAAAGTTTAAGAGAAGAGGATTGTGATGTTGTTTAGCTCTTTTTTAAATGTCGTTTTCTGCCATTAAAACCAAATCAGAGAATGAAACTTAAAATAGATTGAAGGGTCACTATAAACTCATTATTTCAGGTGTTTATTATGGGAACTCAGAACTAAACCCTGGATGATAACAGCTGGATTTTAACAAAAAGCTTTCCTATATCATCAGTAATATGACTGATATTTTTTCCCCATGCAAATTGAAAATTTTCTGGAACAAATCACCTATTTGCATAAAGGTTTGTTTCAAGGAGAATCCTCCAATTCAAAATTATGTAGTAACCGACATCAGTATCTGTTCTGTGCTAATACCCGACCTCGTCTCCATTTCCAGGTCGTTCTAATGGTTAAGCATAGTAGCAGTCAGAACATCTGAGGATCGTGGGAGGCTTATTAAGATGCTACTGTTCTTGTTTTGTTTTTTTAAAAAACATCTGATGGAGAAAAAACTGCAGCCATTTCCTGTGAGAGTCATCATGGTTTTATAACTTGAAATTCTATAAATAGAATAAGAACTCGAATGAGGCAAAGGGTCAAACCCTTTCAGATTAATTTATACTTAGTTTCCCTCAACCATAAAGTGACAAGTAGACCTTTGATTAATAATGAAGGGGGGAAATAACTTTTATTTATAGGCATCCCAGCTTTTTTGATACAGATTTCTGTGGGAATGAAGCTCTCACTCTCTCTCCTTCCCTCCCTCTCTCTCTCTCTCTCTGTTTTATACCCGATCATTAGGTGCAGTTGATTGTGATCGATGGAATTGCCTTTCCTTTCCGCCATGACTTCGAAGATATCTCGCTGCGAACAAGACTTTTGAATGGCTTGGCCCAGCAGTTGATATGCATCGCAAATGACCATACGTTAGCTGTAAGTTTGAGAAAGAATGAAGATCTGTGGCTAAGCCAGTATATGATACAGGTAGCCCTTGACTTATGACCTCAATTGAGCCCAGAATTTCTGTTGCTAGGTGAAACATTTGTTAAGTGAATTTTGACCCTATTTTATGACCTTTCTCGCCACAGTTGTTCAGCACATCACTGCATTTGTTAAATTAGTAAGTTGGTTGTTAAGTGAATCTGGCTTCCCCATTGCATTTGCTTGTCAGAAGGTTGCAAAAAGGGATCACATGACCCCAGGGACACTGCAATGGTCATAAATACGAGTCAGCTGCCAAGTATCTGAATTTTGATCACTTGGCCATGGGGACACTACAATGATTGTAAGTGTGAAAAATGTTCATACATCACTTTTTTTCAGAGCCATTGTAATTTTGAACAGTCACTAAACGAATAGTTGTAAGTCGAAGACTACCTGTATAACTTTGACACTCGAAATAGTGACTAAACATTCGACAGAAAATCCGATGTGCTAACCCTGCAATGTATTTTTGACATGTTATATAAACCTATCAGTTGTGGTTGTTAAACCATAATTTCTAGCTTAACAGATTATTTAAAACCAGTTATTTATTCAACAGGGCATGATTCAACAAATGATAGCTTGACATAATGCAAATCCAGCTATTCCTTTGTGCTTTTAAAGCTCGTATTGTATGCGTTTTAAGTGGGTTAAGGATTTCCTGCCTTTTGATTGTCATTGTCTTTTTATAAACATAAATGCCAGTTTGATCTAGTGATTAAGGCACAGGCTAGAAGCCAGGAGATGGTTGAGTTCTAGTCCCGCCTTTGTATGAAAGCTGATGGGTGTCTTTGGGCCAATCACCAGGATATTGAGTGTTCTAGAAGAGCTGTGGTGATGTGGTAGTAAGAATGCAGTATTTGCAAGCTAACTTTGCCCACAGCTAGGAGTTCGATCCTGACCGGCTGAAGATGGACTCAGCCTTCCTTCCTTCTTAGGTCAGTAAAACTAGGACCCAGATTGTTGGGGGCCAGAGGCTGACTATAAAAACCGCATAGAGAGAGCTGTAAAGCACTGTGAAGCGATATATAAATCTTAAATGCTAGCGCTATTGCTAGTCCCACTTTAGGAATGAAAGCCAGCTGGGTGTCACACACTCTCACCCCAACCCACCTCGCCAAGTTGTAATTGTGGGGAAAATAGGAGGAGGAAGGAGTATTGTGTATATTCACTGCCTTGAAATATTTATAAAACAATAAAGGTTAGATAGGTAGATAGAACTGAAGAAGCTTCTTGGATGAGAAGCAAAATATCTTCAAAGTCCAGTTGCCTTTTGAAAAAGCACCTGTTAGACAGACTGATAAATAAATAACAGACAGGCAGAATCTTATGAAGAGAAAACAAGACTTGTTGGGAGACAATTTGGAAGAAATTCCTTAGTGAAACTGCCTTTTATCTCCCTTGTTGTTGCATCCTTTGACCTCTGCCTGGAGGTGCCGCAGATAAAGCTGGCTTCATGCCAAGGGAAGGACACGCTTGAGCTACAGCTATTTATAGGTGGGTTTTTTTCCAGCCTACCCAGGTTAGAAGGGGTTGTTCCAGAATGAAGCTTAGGCACGTTCTGAAATGTTACTTATTTCCTGTTTCCAGGTAACATAGTTCCTCCTTAAACTGTGATTCTGTATGTATGCTGGGACTTCTTCATTTTTTTTTTCTTTTTTATTGCTGGGCTGCTAAAAATAAGCCTCTCCATGTGTTTTTACTGAGATAGTGTTAGAAGACAACACAGAACAGCCCTAACAGATCAGTCTGTGAGCCTAAAATGTTACTTCCCAAGCTGGCTAAAAAAGATACCAATGGGAAGACTCACGTAGTACATTACAGCAATAACCCCTAGCTAAGAATATTCAGAGGCACCCCAGTTTAATCCCTATTTTTATCTGAGGGAGTCAACCTGTTCTCCAAAGCACCTGAGAGCAGGACAAGAAGCAACGGATGGAAACTAATCAAGGAGAGAAGCAACCTAGAACTAAGGAGTCATTTCTTGACAGAACAATTAGTCCGTGGAAGGAATTGCCTCCGGAAGTCGTGGGTGCTCCAACACTGAGGGTTTTCAAGAAGAGGTTGGACAATTGGTCTGAAATGGTATAAGGTTTCCTGCCTGAGATCTCCAAGGTCCCTTCCAACTCTGTAATCCTGCACTGGATGCTGACATTGGATTCTTTAGATCAGGGGTGTCCAACCTTGGCAACTTTAAGACTTGTGGACTTCAACTCCCAGAATTCCTCAGCCAGCTTTGTTGCCAAGGTTGGACACCCCTGCTTTAGATCATGTGCTGGATGAACAAATCATTCTTAGTTCCCCTTTTGAATTACTGACTCAATTGGACCAACTTAGGGGCTTGAGGAACGTATTCTGTATTACCCCAATAATTCAAAATGGCTGTCTTGGTAGTACAAGGAAAGATGTCTGCTTGCTAAATGTTGGCCATGATGAGCAAGTCAAGACTCAAATGATAAAAACGCTTCCTAAAGGAAACTATTGGGATTCTTCCCACAACCTCCTTTAACCTCTGGAATTCTCTCTACCACTTTTTATTTTGGTATTGCACTCAAGGCACCTATTACTAGTGGCTCTACCTTTGCTCTTTTTTGCCACAGTGGTTCTATTTCTGCTCGCAGGTCATTGTATTTTATTGTCTTCTCCAGTTCTTTCTCTTCTACTGACCTGTCTCCAGGTCCATTATCCAGACTTATTTTGTCTTTCTTAGTGACAATTGTTAAGTCTGGGGGTGGCGCAGGGGTCAGAATGTGGTATTTCAAGCTAATTCAGCTCAGTGCCAGGAGTTCAGACTTGACTGCCTCAAGGTTGACTCAGCCTTCCATCCTTCTGAAGTAGGTAAAATGAGGGCCCAGATTGTTGAGGCTGATATTGTAAAGCATTATGTAGCGGTATATAAGTCGTAAGTGCTATTGCTATTACAGGCAGCCCTCAACTTACAACAGTTCATTTCATGACCGTTCAAAGTTACAACAGCACTGAAACGAGTGACTTAGGACAATTTTTCACACTTACGACCATTATAATATCTCCATGGTTATGTGATCAAAATTCAGACGCTTGGCGACTGATTCATATTGGTGATAGTTGCAGTTTCCCGGGTCACCTTTTGGGGCCCTCTGTCGAGCAGGCAATGAGGAAGCCGGATTCACTTAACAACCAGGTATATTAACTTAACAATTGCAGTGATTCACTTAACAACCGTGGCAAGAAAGGTTGTAATTTGGGGCAAAACTCATTTAACAAATGTCTCACTCAGCAACATAAATTTTGGGCTCAATTGTGTTTGTAAGTTGATGACTACCTGTGTTGTTATTAGTGAAAGGGGCCATACCACATCTACTTGTGGCAGAGGTGGGGAAGTTGTGGCTCTCCAAAAGTTGATGGGATCCAATTCCATAAGCCTCAGCAGCATGACCAATAATCAGAGACAAAGGGAGCTATAGTCTAACTTGGTGTTTCTCATCCTTGAAAGCTTGAAGATGTGTGAACCTCAACTCCCATGTGGGCTGGGAAATCCTGGGAGTTGAGGTTGATACGTCTTCAAATTGCTGTGGTTGAGAAACACGGGTCTAACGGCTTCTATTTAGCAGTAACTATAAGCACTAATTTATTTAATGTAGATTCTCTCCTTTCTTGCTTCTTTCAGGTAGTGTTGACCAATCAGATGACCACACGCTTTGAACAGAATCATTCCTCTTTGGTACCTGCCTTAGGTAAGCATTTCTACTTCCTGTTAGAGGAGGGTTTTATTCCCCCTCTTCCTATATTTCACTTTCTCTCTCATGAACAAAAAAACGCACAGCGATGGTCCATCTTGTTTCCCAAAGAATTCTGTGTGACTCTGTATTTTCCTCTTTTTAACTTTTGTCATTTTAATCTGTATTCACACAGAGAACATTTTAAAGGGACTAAAAGTTCCTTGCTTATAATTCTGTTTTGCCACAGCCTTAGCTTGATTGCATCTACTGCTTGTAGCCCATTCACTGGCTTCATTTGTTTCTTGTCTTGCCTTCTGGTGTTTTGGAAAATAGATTGTCCCCCACAAAGAAGTGTGGGGGGGGGAGGAATCAACCTATTTTCCAAAGCACCGGAAGGCAAGACAAAAAACAATGGATGGAAATTAATAAAGGAGAGAACCAACCGAGAACTTATTTCCTGACAGTGAGAACAATCCTATCCTATCCATAGTATGACTTGCCTCCAGAGGTTGTGGGAGCACCGTCACTTGAGACTTTTAAGAAGAGACTGGACAGCAGTTTGTCTAAAATGGTATAGGGTCTCCCGATTGAGCAAGGGGTTGGACTAGAAGACCTCCAAGGCCCCTTCCAACACTGTTATTCTAGTCCTTAAAAGCTGATGTAATAATATATTGGCTGGTTTTGAGGTATCCCAAGACTCTTAGCCGTTTTTGTAGCCAAAGATTAAAAAAAAAAAAATCAGAAATTGTTGTCATCACAGGAACTCTAGAATATCAATTTTAACTGTGGAGCTGCTAGTTCCATGGGGCATTCTTGATATGAAAACATCCCTAGAAATACCAAAGAAAGAAATACCATTTTAGGAAGACCAAATGTGACTGGTGTAAGAGATCTCTTAAGAAATAAATCACATTCCCCCTCACCTTCAGATGATAAGAGCAAACCATGATTAGCAAACATTGATAGTTTGCTAGCCAGCATCTTTTTCCTCCACCCCCAAGGCCCTCCACACATTCCTTTCCAGATGGGTAAAGTTTTTTTTGACTGTTTATTAAATGTATATGCCACCCATCTCCCCAATAGGTCATAAAATACGAAGAATTTTCTGTGCTGACATGAGATCTCCTGAATCAAACTCTGGAGTTAAAAGGCGGGGAAGCCAAAGAGAGCCCAATAAAAGATGTACCGAAAGCACTTCCCCCCCCCCGCCCCCCACTGCTTCCTGCCAAGCAAATCTCTTTTATTTTTAAGCAAAGCGTCCTTTGAGGTGAACTTGACTGCTGGGGACTTCCTGAACACATCCCATTTAATTTTCTTGGCAGCTCTTTGGGTGGTTTGCCATTGCTTTCTTTCAGGTTGCTTGGGATTTGTTGAGTTTATAGCCTGGGATTCCCTGATGTGCTCCCATCCCAGTTCTAGCCAGATTTGACGCTGTTTAGTTTTTTTTGAGAACAGCCCGTTCTCCAGCAGATCTTCAAATGCAAAGGCGTTGAACTGAAGTCAGACGATCTTTGCTTTTGCATCCATCAGTCATCTAAAAATGATTACTTGGATGGCACCCGCCTCACAACTCTTCACTCGGTTTTCTTCCTCCTCATCCCTGCCTTTGAAAGCCATTCTTAGGTGTCTCCACTGCTTTTCTGCCTTACGTGACATCGCTTCCGCCAGGAACAAATGCAGACAATCCTCGACTTACAGCAGTTCATTTAGTGGCCGTTCAAAGTTACAGAGGCACTGAAAAATATGACTTGTGACCGTTTCCCATAGTTACAACCTTTGCAGCATCCCCGTGGTCCTGCGATCAAAATTCAGATGCTCGACAACTGGTTCATATTTATGACCTTTGCTGTGTCCCAAGGTCACATGGTCTCTTTTTGCGACCTTCTGATAAGCAAAGGTAATGGGGGGAAACCAGATTCACTTAACAACCGTGTTACTAACTTAACTGCAGTGATTCACTTAACAAATGTGAGCAAAAATCGTAAAATGGGGCAAAACACACTTAACAAATGTCTCGCTTAACAACAGAAATTTTGGGCTCAATTATGGTCGTAAGTTGAGCACTACCTAGTCCTCAACCTATGACCACAACTGAGCCCCAAATTTATGTTGCTGAGAAATTTGTTCACTGGGGTTTGCCCCATTTTATGATTTATGATTTTATGGCACTGCCACCGTTCATAAGTGTGAGTCAGTCATCAAGCATCCAAATGTTAATCACATGACCATGGGGATGCTGCAACGGTCATAAGTGTGAAAAATGGTCATAAGTAACTTCTTTCAGTGCCGTTGTAACTTCGAACCATCACTAAACAAACTCTTGTAAGTCGAGGACTACCTGTATTGTATTTAACTAGTTGCTGCTGAAGTTTACAGCATCCTGAGCTTTTCTCATCAGAGATTCTACGTTTTTTGGTCATTTTATAAGGGGCTCCTTCATTTTGATTAGAACAGGTCCAGATTCGGGATGTGTGCGTGCGTGTGTGTGTGTGTGTGTGTGTGTGTGCATGTGTGTGTGTTTTTCCACCCGAGAGGCAAAGATCTGGGTTAAAGCCACGTTAGGAAAAAGACCGCAGAGCGATTCTTCTAAAATAGCTCTTTGCATTCCTTTTGCCTCTGAATCACATAACGGTTCCCTTGATCGTTTGGGGCAGGGGCAGCTGTGCAGAAGGCCCTTAATGTGTGTCAGCAGTTCATCCGCTTGCCAGAGATGCAAGATAAATGGAACACAATCAGAAGCGCAGTCCTCGGAGGACGCGGGATTGGAAGTGCGCAGGCAGGTTTTTTTTTTTTAAAAAAAACATATATAAATACCTTGCTTTCAAACGCTGACCTATTGTCTCCTGCCCTGCCTTCCCCCTGCAGTCTACATGGAGTTTTTTTGGCAGATAGTAGTCAGACTAACAAAGCAAATTAAAGCTAATCGATTTAAGGGTTGGCAACTGGCGATCCGTGAGATGGGTCCAGCTCCCCGAGGGTTGCCATCTGCTCCCTCAGCTGCCAGTCAGTACTTTCCTTTCTGTTCTTGGAACAGTTCAGGGAAAGACAGTAATCTCCAGCAAGCAACAGAGAATTCCTCTAGGTTGGAGTGTCTCTCTCTCCCTCTCTTTCTCCCCCTCCTTTTTTTCTCTTTCCCTCCCTCTCTCTTCCTCTCTCTCCTCACTCTTTCTCTGTCTGTCTCCCCTCCCTTTCTCTTTCCCTCATCACTCCCTCTTTCTCTTTCCCTCCCTCCCTCTCTCCCTCTCTCTTTCCTTCTCTCCCTCTTTCTCTCTCTTTCCCCCTCTCTCCTTCCCTGTCCTCTTTCTCTCTCCCCCTTTCCCTCTTTCCCCTCTCTCCCCCTCTCCCTCTCTTTCTCTTCCCTCCCTCTCTCTCCCTAACTCTCTCTCCTCCCCTCTTTCTCTCCCCCCTCTCTCCATCTCTGCCCTTTTTCTCTCTTCCCCTCTCCTTTTCTCTCCCTCCCCCCTTTTCTTTCTCTCATTTTTCCAGTTTGGACTCTGGGTGAAGAGTGTCAGGGTGCAGGTGCCTCTATATTCCAACTTTTATCCAACTGTCCTTTCTCAAAGGTCAGAGAAGGAGACTAGAGGTAGTTCTCGACTTACGACCACAATGGAGGCCAAAATTTCCACTGCTAAACAAAACATTTGTTAAGTGAGTTTTGCCCCATTCTATGACTTTTCTTGCCACTGTGGTTAAGTGATTCACTGCAGTCGTTAAGTTAGTAATATGGGTGTTAAGTGAATCTGGCTTCCCCATTTTGATTTTGCAAATCATGGCTCCTCAAAAGCTCATTGAAGTTGAGGCCGGTCAGTTTCAGCCATCCAGACTGAAGGGGATTATGGGAAATATAGCCCTGAATATTTGTTAGGCAACAAAAAAAGAAAGACTTGGGAGCTTGTAGGATGTATTATGTCATTTTCTAACCTTGGATTGCTTTAAGGCCTGTAAAATGCTTTGAGAAGACGGTGTACCATGATCAAATTGGGACTAAAATAATCGGTAACTTGCTTGCTTTATTTATTCATTAGATTTTTATCCCACCTTTAACACTTTATAAGTAACTCAAAGTAGTGAACATACCTCATACTTATTTCTCCTCCTGTTTTCCCCATCACAACAACCCTGTGAGGTGGGTTGGGCTGAGAGAGGATGACTGGCTCAAAGTCCCTGGGTTGGCTTTCATGTCTAAGGTGGGACTAGAACTCTCCGTCTCCTGGGGATTGGCCCAAAGTCATCCAACTGGCTTTGTACCCAAGGCAGGACTAGAACTCACCATATCCCGGTGATTGGCCCAATCAGCCAGCCAGGTTTCATGGCTAAGGCGGGGCTGGAATTCACCATCACCTGATTTCTAAGCCAGCACCTTAACCACTGCACCAAAGCGGTCTTCACTCCTACAACATTCCAGTTATTAATAAATATTTCTGGTATTTTTAGATGCAAGGCTTTTAGGATGTGTCAAAAAGAGTCTGTACGTTCAAAGGAACTTTGTTTTGCTTTCTTTCACATCTTCTCTTTTTCAAAATGCTTCCAAGTAGGGCAAATTTGGTTGATTAGTAAGTAGCAGCATTAATGAGCATTACTGTTCCCTCTTTTTCCCCTCCATTTTATTTTATTCATGAAAAGATCTTTAGAAATTATTTATTCCATAAAAGTGACCATACAGACCAGAATGGTTATTTTAGCTTGAGTTTTTTTGCGGGGGTGGGGTGGGGTGTTTTTTTGCTTTATGCGTTTCTTTAGAAAGCCCTATAGATAAAAGAGGGCATCTACCAAATATTATAAGAATTGGGTTAAAGGCTTTGTTAACAAATCTATCTTTGACCAAGCTGAGTTCCCAAGTTGGCTTATCCTAGAGATGGCTTTTGTTTGATACTCCTCAGCAATGAGATCAGCTATTAATCTCCCATCAGTATCATTTAGAAGCAGTGCATTTTGTCACAGACTATGAAACAGTTTCCCCCTCCATGGGCTGGTTTGAAGTGGAAACGGTATTCATTTGTATAATTCACACACTAATCTCAGCTTGCAAATGTTAAATCTCATGCTAGCATGGTGACGAGAGCTGGCGACGTGCCACCCGAGTCTAGACATTTAATTTTTAGAATTCCTCTATTAGAATGATAGCGCTTCTCCCTCTGGGAGTGATAATGAAGAAGTGGGTAGAGTTTGCAGTGTACTTGCTAGAGGCCAGCAGATGCCCAATTTTATGCTTCTGGAGCTGCTCTGAGACAAATTGGGGTGGGCTCTCGGCATCTCCCTTGAATTGTTGCTTTAAAATTCAATCCATCTTCTGCCTACACAGCAACCGTGTCTAGAATGGGTTGAGAGACAGGCTCGATAAATCTGTCTGGAAATCAAATGACATGGTCAAACCTCAGCAAGAATAATTAAGTTTCTTTCCTTCCAAAGCCATCCCAGTTTCTCATGAGCTGAGCAGAGTTCCATTCTGTTTGTACCTTTATTGTTCTTTTGGCACCCCGGCTCTGGCCTTGGCTTTTAAATGATTGCATTCAAGTCCTTTCACAGGAAAGTACTGTATGACAGGGGATGGGGGGAACAGGAAGAAGCTGGAGGAGATTGCTGCGGTCTGTTCCACTTTCTTAAGCAATTCAATATTTAGGAGGCAAAGCACATACAAGGATTTAGTCCCCTTTGGAGAGAGGAATCAGTGGAGAAATTGGCTGGGTTGGCATTTCTCTGTAGTGTTTTTGTAGAGGCCCAATTTAACCCTGAAAAAGAACAAGCACTTACTCCCATACGTGTTTTTCTAAAGGAGCAGCCCTGGCGTACTCCCTCCCCCTATTAACTTAGAAGCAGGTATATTTAAGATCACGTGAAGTGTTTAATATCCCTTTATGATGCCTTGGTAAGACAGGATTTGGAATACTGCATCCAGTTTTGGTTGCCACGATGCTGAGACTCCAGAAATTTCTATAGTGAGTGCAGAGAAAAGCAACAGAGATGATTAGGGGACTGGAGGCTAAACCTGTGAAGAACGTTTGCAGGAATTGGGTTTGTCTAGTCTAGTGAAAAGAAGGACTAAAGGTGACATGATAGTAGTCTTTCAATATTTGAGGGGCTGCCACAAAGAAAAGGGGGTGCGAATGTATTCTCTAAAGTATCTGAAAGAGGACAAAAAAACAATGAATGGAAACTATGCAAGGAGAGAAGCAACCTAGAACTAAGGAAAAATTTAGTGACAGAACCATTACTGACTTTGGGCCGATCGCCAGGAGACTTTGAGTTCTAGACCCACCCTTGCATGAAAGCTGGCTGAGTGACCTAAGACCAATTTTGTCTCAGCCCACTTCACCTCACAGGGTTGTTGTGGGGAAAATAGGAGGAGGAGGAACTATTAGGTATGTTCACCACCTTGAGTTATTGATAAAAATAATAAAGGGATGTAAATCAATGACTAAGTAAAAAAATAAAAAGCAAATTACAGTGTAGAAGTGCTGTTTTGAGTATGAATCATCAAAGGTAACAAAGAAACCTGCTCCTTAAACTGAAACCTGCTATGGAATAGAACCGTTGCAAGAATGGCTGCATTATATTTCCAGAGGCCGAATCTGGAGAGTTGAGAAGATAAGCAAAAAGTGAAGACTAGTGAATAAAGGAGGACTGTACTGCATAAAGGAGAAAAAGGCTATTAGCAGGCTTGGCTGTCAGAGGTGTTGAATATCACAGGCACTCCCAGTACTTTGGCAGAGTTTCTTCTTTTAGACAAGACTGGGGAAGACTTCTTGAAGGTTTCTCTATCCGAGGCAGAGCTTGGTTTAGAGCCCATGAACAGATGAAAAGCCATTTCAAGTATTGACTGAGGTGGGTGGCCATAGAAATTGAATTAATAAATAAATAAATTGGTGAAAATATTTACATGGGCTAAGCAGATTATGTATTTCATTCAGGAGTACCTTTTTTGTGAGGTGAAATCCTTGTGTGCATCCCCACCAAGTCTGGCAGGGTGAGCAACTCTCTATAGACTGAGAGCAACCCCCCTCCTTTCTAGCACTGATGATGTTACTTAGTTGGATAGTGAAATGTCTGCAGGGAAACATCCTGGCTCAGAGAGTTCCAAGGAAACAACCAAGCTCAGAGAGCACCAAGGACTCCACACTTCGAACCCAAGCTACATATATTTTCTTCTACATTTGTGAGGATTTAAAAAAACCAAAACCACCTGTTTTTATCTGTTCCCAAATATTTCCAACTCAATTTTCTGAAAGCCTCCAAGAGGACTCCTGCAAATCGTTAAACTGCAAGGCAGAAAGGGAGCAGGGACACCTTAATGAATTGTTCTATCACAATTAATAGACATTCTGTCATGCAGGTATTTAGTATCTCAGTGCTCCCTTTTGCATAGAAAACCCGCTTACCTTCTCAAAGCTTAAAAGAGTTTATCTTCTCAGCTCATAATTGCTAATTTTCCGATCATGGGTTCTTTTATTATTTCTTCGCAGCTGATGCTTCCTAGCTGCAGTACGTACCGGCTGTATATCTTTAGAACATGCTTGAAGAATAATTAGTAATATTCTTTTTTCTTTCTCTGTCTCCCTCCCCCACCCCAATCTCTAGGGGAAAGCTGGGGTCACGCAGCTACCATACGTTTAATTTTGCACTGGAATAACAAGCAGAGGTGAGTTTTTTTTAAAAAAATGGACACCAATCAGCTAAATTAGCTATTGAGTTTGCAACTAAATCCAAGGATATATACTCAATTATCCTTTCTGCTTCTCTTCTCATCTTCCCTTTGGCATGTACCAGCTGTGGAATGAACAATCTGCCTTTAATTTAAATACTTACCTAAAAATATGCTACAACAAAGTTCACAAAATTATTTCAACCCTTCCCCAGCTCCCCCCCCCAAAAAAAAACACAAAAAAACCCCAAAGCCTAGAAGCAGCTAGATAGGAAAAAGTTATACAAGCAGTCCTCGACTTACAGCAGTTCGTTTAGTGACTGTTCAATGTTATAACAGCACTGAAAGTATTTCACCACTTACGACCGTTGCACCGTCCCCACAGTTACACACTCAACATGCTTGGCAGTTGATTCATATTTATGATGGTTGCTGTGTCCTTGGGTCCCATGATGCCCTTTTGTGGCCTTTTTGACAACGAAGGTCCATGGGGAAGCCAGATTCACATAACAACCCATGAGACTAACTTAGCAACTGCAATGATTCACTTGACAATTGTGGCAAGGAAGTCGTAAAATGGGACAAATGTCTCACTTAGCAACATAAATTTTGGGCTCAGTTGTGATCATAACTCGGGGACTACCTGTAATAACTACATAAACCATGTACTAGCCAACCATTGTATACACTAGCTCAGTTTGTAGTCCAGAACAGCTTGTATGATTGGCCAAAAATTCAGTGTCTTGAAAGCCTGAAAATTGAGTCAAGTATATCAAGTTTGAAATTTTCGGACCAACAAGAAAAGAAGTCCAGTTGGCACAACTCAACTTCCAGACTTCTTCAGATATTCTAAAAGTAAAACACAAAAAAGGCACTTTAAGAAACAAGTAGCAGAATCTGCCAGAACCAGTCAATTCCTTTTAGTAACATTGAAATTAAGGTGTACAGATATTGTGGACAAAAATACATAAAGATCAGATTTAGATGCAGGGGGAATGAATAGCATAATCTAAATACGAATGACATAACCTGAAGGGTAGATAAATTCTTGGAGAGACCGCTTCAGGGGCTGCTCTGTCCCTTTAACGTGGCTTGCAATTCTGGGCAACAACCTTATCTAAAGCACGCAGCTACAAAACCTATCCAAACACTCACATTTTAATGACAGAGTGTGAGACTGCAAGACAGCAATGTGTTAGCAGACACAGCCTTTATTTTTATACCATAGGGGAAACCTGAAGAAAAGGAGAGCTTTGTATTAAAGACAATGAACCGGGTTAAGCTGTTCCTTCGTTAACCTTGTTTTGCTCAGGATCCTGGGTGGATTCTTGCAGTCCCTCTTTGTTTAATAGCTGGAACAGAGTGTAACCACAGCCGTTATGCAATTATTGTGTTTAAACCTAATATCCCTCTTCTCCTCCCAGTGCTTTTAAGTGTGTCACTTCATTTAGATGGTGGGGTGTCTCTTACTTCAAACACAGATTTCCATGGCATCTGAGGGGCACCTGGTGGAATTCTATTTGAGAGCCTCTTCAAAACATGACAGGGTATCTCACGATTAAGGCTATTTCTTTCAAGTACACCCACCAATTTAAATGTTCTAAGGAATTCCCTATGCAACGAAATGTGATGTGATAATCTTCCTTGGGCGGTAATTACTTGCTTTCTAATAGAATAGCACTGAGAGAAGAAAAGAAACTCAGAGCCCTAAAAATAATTAACAGGAATCTTGGCAGGTTATCTCAGAGGAAGGCTGAGTATTTTCCTGGGGTATAGCAAGTTCAGAAGTCCTCCCTCCCTGTGGGTTTTAGCAGGAGGTTCTTGAATTAGATTTTAGATTGAACCAAAAAAAAAAAAATTCAGTGCAGTTGCAATTACTTCAAAAGATTTATTCCATCCCTTCGTTTTTCCAAAAATTGCCAATTGCAGTTAAGAAAGTAAAAATTGTGAACTTGAAATAAGTTAAGAATGCAGAATTGCAAAGCAGGCTAAGTTTCTACAATCATTTTTCTTTTTTCAAACACAGCCACTATTTTTTGTTCTTTACTGTTCATGTCGGACCCTCTGTCATAATCTGTAAAATACCATTAACCGTATCTATACTCTTTTCAATTAAGACAGTAGGGTACTGTTTTTCAGTCTCAGCAACTTGAAGTTATATCGATTTCAAATCCCAGAATCCCCCAGCATGGACTTGAAGTACATACATCTTAAAGTTGCTGAGATTGAGAAACACTGCAATACAGCAAAGATCATGCCACGAAATAAAAAAAGATGTTGAGACTCTAGAAAGAGTGCAGAGAAGAACAAGAAAGTTGATTAGGGACCAGAGGCTAAAACATATAAAGAACGGTTGCTGGAATTGAGTATGTCAGGTTAGTGAAAAGAAGGACTAGGGGTGACATGATAGTAGTGTTCCGATATCTAAAGAAATGCCGTAGAGAAGAGGGGGTCAACCTATTCTCCGAAGCACCAGAAGGCAGGACAAGAAGTAATGGATGGAATCCATTAATGGAGTAATGGAGAAGAAACCATGAACTAAGGAGAAATTTCCTGACAGTGAGAACAATTAATCAGTGGAACTACTTGCCACCAGACATTGTGGATGCTCCACACTGGAGATTGTCAAGAAGAGACTGGATAGGCATTTGTCCAGAATGGTATAAGGTCACCTGCTTAAGTAGGGTTGAACTAGAAGACGTCTAAGGTCCTTTTCAACTTTGTTATTCTGTTATCTTCTGGAAATTTCCTCTCTGCAAGCCTATTAAAGAGGAATAGGAACCATTTCAGCTGTCCAAATCCTTGTTTACTGACCACTCCTTCGGTGTCCATTCAAACTTGCAATTTGTGATCTTCCTGCAAACAAAGTCAGTGGGGAAACTTGCAGGAAGTCAGAAATTGTGGCCACATGAGGTCCTTACTTAACGATAGTAAACCAGGATAGCTGACCTGGTTTTTCTCCTTAAAAGTGCTTCACTTACCAATGTAGTTTTCTGTCCCAATTAGTGTCTTTAAATAAGGACTACCTATACTGATAAAAAAGGCAGGATATAAAGCTAAAATTAACATGCCATATTTTTGATATTACAATATTTTCCTCATTCATTGAATTGACTGTGTCCTTTCACTGACTAATAGCAATGATGTAATACTCTGAATTCTCTGAATCTGTAATAATGAAATAAGATAACATAAACACAAATAACTGCCAGTGAAATGCAGTGAGCTTAATGTTGTTCAATTTTTTTCCACCTCAACATTAGTCCATGTCATTGAAGTAATCATGATTGTTTGATTATTATTTATTTCCAGGTTGGCCACATTGTACAAGTCTCCAAGTCAAAAGGAGTCGACCGTACCCTTTTGCATTACAGTAAGTATAATTGTCGAAAAGGCCAAAACTGGGAACAACAAGGTGAAAATGAAATGCTAACAATGAAGGGAATGTAAAATGCTAACATTAGAACAACCCTAGCCACACATCTTCACGATGAGCCTGTGATAGTTTGTTTATCAGTATCAGAAGCATCACAATTAAAGTAAGGCATACTACTGGTAGTCCTTGACGTACGACCATGATTGAGCCCAAAATTTTTGTTGCGAAGTGAAACATTCGTTAAATGAATTGACCCCATTTTATGACCTTTTGTGCCAGAGTTGTTATGTGAATCACTGCAATTGTAAAGTTAGGAGCACAATTGTCAAGGGAATCTGGTTTCCCCGTTGATTTCGCTTGTAAGAAGATTACAAAAAGTTGTCACATGACCCTGCAACCATCATAAATATGAGTCAGTTTGCTAAGGATCTGGATTTGATCTTGGGACTATGGGGATACTGCAATGTTTGTAAGTAGGAAAAACACTTTTTTCAGTGCTGTTGTAACTTTGGTCATTATATGAACTGTTGGAAGTTTAGTACTACCTGTATAAAGTATAAAATACAAGATTAAAACATGTACAAATTAAACATGAGGTCCTCAAATGTACACCGATTGGTACACAAAGGGCAGGTACACATATGTGTTGTTGTCTGCGTGTCATCACAATCGCAAAACAGCAGAAGCCACCGGATAGCCCCGTTTATTCAGAGTGTCTCTGGATCTTGTTTCAACCATGCGCAGTCTATTCAACGATTTCCATACTTCCCACATTTTTCCGGACGCAGGTGCCAGTTCCTCCAGGATTGGTTCTTTGTAGCTTTCCATAGGTCCACTCTGTTTACAGAGAAAAGCGGCAGCATACAGAGAGTGATTCAAACCATCAATATCTAGACAATACCATCTCTACGGCCTACAAACAGCTGAGCGGGGACTAAAATCCAGGAAAAGTTTCCTTGGGTCAACCTGTGATAGCCATGTCTTTACTGCTGATCGAGGTAGTCATCTAATACTTTTCATTTCTTTTGGTGTCTCTCTCAACCAATCCCAATTTGAAGCTACCGCTCTGTTTACATTTCCCATCTGCTCAACCCTCCCAACATCTCAGAGGCCAGAGTTTTAAATAATACTAGACAACTCGCACCCTGTTGAGTCATCTTCTCAGAGATATTTCCTTTCCAGCTTCCCCAATCCTTAAACAATGGCAGAGATTCTAATTCAGGAACATACCCAGAGATGTATCTGCCCTAAAAATAGCCCATATCAAACATCAGGAGTTGACCGCTGGAAATGATTTATGGCATATTGCATCATATCATAAAAATGGTTTATGATCACTTTTACGTCATCAAATCTTTTTATAAAAGTTTGCCGACTTTCAATTCCACGGCACTCGTTCCACAGTTCTGTATTTTTAATTATTTTATTAAATGTTTATACTGCCCATCTCCCCTGCAAGGTAACTGGTCATTTTAATGTTATAAAGCAGGTAAAAATAATTAAAAGATTAAAACCGCACATATTTTGGATGCATTCTCTAAGTGAGCCCCCTTTGAGGTACCTTGGTTCAAAAAATGTTGCCCTGTGAAGCACTATTTTGCTCAGTTAAAGGTTACAAAAAGACAAGCAGGAGTTTTAGTAGCCTGTAAATTTCAAGCATGAAACTAAGGATTAAACAAAAAATGCATATGCGACCTGCTTATGGTTGGTTTCTTATGCCAGTTTGCAAGTTAACAAATAATATACGCCATGGAGATACAGGCCGTATTCATAATTAGATTCCTTAGCTACAGCTTGACATTATGTCTGCATTGAATCAACTGCATTCTGCTCAATTCTATATCCTGTCTCAGGCTACCCCTATTATGAATTATAAATTTGGAAGGGAACATTTGGGTCAGGGGTGTCAAAATCGATTTCATTGAGGGCCGCATCAGGGTTGTGTTGGACCTCGGGAGGGGCGTGGTCAGCTTGACGTAGCCAGCTCGATGTGGCTAGCTCGACATCACTCATGTTGGGGTCGCCTGTGGAGACCCAAGTGCTCTGCCAGCGAAAACGGAGCTAGGGACGATCCCGCACGACTCTTTCGAGCTCCATTTTTGCTGGCAAAGGGTTCCAGGAGGCCATCGCAGCCGAAAACAGCTCCATTTTCGTTGGCAGAGGCACTGCCGGCCGGTCCTTCGCTGTTCCCAGGGCGGCCCTGCGGGCCAGATCTAAACACCCCGCAGGCCAGATCCAGCCTGGAGGCCTTGATTTTGACACCCCAGATTTAGGTCATCAGGTGTCCCGCTCTTTTCCTTAGTCAAATCCTTCTTCACCAAATAGTGGTGATGTTATCCATTCAGTCGAATTCGATTCTCAGCGATTCTGTGGGCCAGCTCTCTCATCTTCCGATCATGAACTTTTAAAAGTTTTTCTACACTCTGGCTGGTGTCAGCTTTGATAGCATTTCACTGAATAGCTGGTATATTGATTCTTTTCCCTTTCCTCTAAACCTATTTGAAGTTGCCCTTCTTATTACTCCTAACTCCTTCTGACAAACTCGGTTTCTTCTGAGCTTTAGTGTTGCCTGTGTCTATAAACCATCTTTGATGTTTTTGATCCTCTCTCCCGTCTTTTATTTGAATTTTTTTCGGAATTAAGGTAATTTTGTGCAGCTACATTGGCTTTTTATACTGTCCTCAATATTTCCTCAGTGGCATTATTCGTACTTGTGTTCTATTAAATGAAAGGTCCTACTTCTTATTAATTAAATTAGTTTACAGATGGTCCTTGCCTTAGAGCAGTTCATTTAGTGACTGTTTAAAGTTACGATACTCAATAAAGTGACTTATGTCCGTTTTTCACATTTATGGCGTTCCAGCATCCCCTCAGTCACATGATCAAAATTCTTGACAACTGACTCATATTTATGATGGTTGCAGTGTCCCGGGGTCATGTGATCCCCTTTTGCAACCTTCTGAAAAGCAAAGCCAATGGCAAGCCAGATTCACTTTACAGCCGTGTTACTAACTTAACAACTGCAATGATCCACTTAACAAATGTGGCAAGAAAAGTCGTAAAATGGAGCAAAACTCTCTTAACAAATGTCTCACCTAGCCACATAATTTTTGTCTCAATTGTTGAAGATTACCTAGAGCCTCGGTGGTACAGTGGTTATTGCAGGCTACTTCTGCTGACTGCCAGCTGACTGGAGTTTGGCAGTTCAAATCCCACCAGGCTCAAGGTCGACTCAGCCTTCCATCCTTCCGAGGTGGGTAAAACGAGGACTCAGATTGCTGGGGGCCACTCTGTAAGCCACTTAGAAAAGGCTGTAAAGCACTGTGAAGGGGTATCTAAGTCTAAGTGCTATTGCTATATAGCCAATCCTGGAATTGGCAAATAGCGTTGAATCATAATGCCCATTGGAATATGACAGGAACGACATGTTAAGTGGACTGAATAGGATACAGAAATACAAAAAACTTTCCAGGTATTTTTGATGGCATTTGAAACATCTGAGAATAATCCTGAAATAAATATTGCAACTAGCCACATTTTATGGGCAGTTTCTTGTAGAACATGGAGCTAAGCCAAAACAATTTTAAACTGCTCTTCAAATGTCAAAAGCACACAGCTTACCAAACTATAAGTGTTTGCTTGCCTGGAAACATGTTGCCATAGCATTTCCTATGGATTTTTAGAACTGGCTTTTGAGTTCTGAATATGTTCTGGGATCACCAAAGTAGAACTGCGATGGGGGGGGGAGTGGGGGGAATAAATTCCCAAATTCAAAAACAGAAGAGAATATTTGCAGCTCAGGGTTGAACTAAGGAGTCCTTGGTGCTCTCTGAGCTTGATGGTTTTCTTGCAGATGTTTCATGACCAAACTAAGTAATGTCTTCAGTGCTAGAAGGAAGTGGGTTTTGCTCTTATTTTTATACTGGTAACTTGTGTTGGTGGGAGCATTCTTGGTAGTTCCTACGCTGTTGTTTACTGTTTGTTTGTTTGTTTGTTTGTTTGTTTGTATTGGCTGTTCCTTGATTGGGGTATTGTTTATTTCTTAATTATTGGTCTAGTGTTAATTTTGGTGTTAATCTCTGCTTATCTGGATGTTGATTGCTGTTGAAGTGTTTTGGACTTTTGTTTCCTTTTTGGCTCTTTTGAGTTGTTTGTAGATGTCGCTTATCTCTATGTGCCTGTTGATGGCCAATTTGACTGAGTGCTGGGCTTGCAGTAATTCTCTAGCATTTTTTAATTTAGCTTGGTCTAGAATGCTCAGAGTTTCCCAGTTGAAACTATGATTGATTCTGTGATGACATGATGAAAACTCCATAATTCCACAACATCTGGACAGACCGTTACCTAGTTTGGTAATGAAACATCTGCAAGAAAACCACCAAACTTAGAGAACACCAAGGACCCCCGTGGAAAATAAAGGAGTTTTGTTGTATACGAGCAATTTTAAGACTCACAAATGTTTGTAATGTTGACCATTTCAGCAATAAACCCTTTAAATCAACCCTGGCTATTGCATTCCCATGTTCTGAATTAGCTTCACTGCTCTGAGTACAGGTTGTCCTCCACTTATGACTACAATTCAGCCTAAAATTTCCACTGCTGAGCAAGAGAATTGTTAAGTGAGTTTTGCCCCATTTTCTTGCCACAGTTGTTAAATTAATACATTTGTTAAGGAAATCTGGCTTCCCCATTGACTTTGCTTGTCAGAAGAGGTCACAAGAGGGGATCACTGTCATAAATACATGCTACTTTAAATAGCAGTAGCACTTAGACTTCTATACCGCTTCACAGTGCTTGACAGCCCTCTCTAAGCGGTTTACAGAGTCAGCCTCTGGCCCCCAATAAACTGGGTCCTCATTTTACCACCTCAGAAGGATGAGAGGCTGAGTCAACCTTGACCCTGGTGAGATTCGAACTGCCAAATTGTAGGCATCTGGCTGTCAGCAGAAGTAGCCTGCAGTACTGCACTCTAACCACTGCGCCACCAAGGCACCAAGATCATATGACCACCAGACACTGCAACAGTCATAAGTGTGAAAAACGTTCATTTTTTTTCCAATGCCGTTGTAACTTTGAACAGTCATTAAACGAAGGTTGTAAGTTAAGGGCTACCTGTATAGCCTTGTCAGATATAAAGTCTTAGATCTTCTACTGAAAGCTGCCTCTCTTTTGGTTCTTGGCAAAGCCCATCGGTCACGGTTTTATTTTAGGGGCGATGCTGTCATGATTACACAGAACGGGAGCTGTAAGATTGCTTTTGGCAGAACAGTGAGGGTGGAAATCATAGATGTAGAAATCATTTTCTCAAAGCTCTTCCTGACACAAAAATTAGTCACAGAAAACTCTCAGTTTTACTCATATACAACACAAAGTTTAAGTAACTCTTTCTCTCTCTCTGCAGAAAAAAATAACAGTATAAATAGAATAAATCACCAGAATATCTAGTGTTGTGACCACAGGTTGTCCTTGACTTACAACAGTTCATTTAATGACTGTTCAAAGTTACCTGACACAAAAATTAGTCACCGAAACTGTCAGTTTTACTCATATACAACACAAAGTTTAAATATCTCCCCCCCTCTCCCTCCTTCTCTCCCCTGTCACTAATTTTTACAGCTGTAATGCAGTAATAACTCTGGCAAGAAAGGTCGTCAAATGAAACTCACTTAACAAATATCTCACTTAGCAACATAAATGTTGGGCTCAATTGTGGTGGTTAAGTCTAGGACTACCTGTACTTTAATGGCACTTTAGTTTTAATGTCGAGATTGTAATATTTATTTCATCTTAATGCACCACCTTCTTGAACCATGGAACATTATTTCAATAGTGAATTCACAGTGCTAAAAACAGTTCTAAAAACTTGTCAAGTGCTAAAATCAGCAAAGAAAAACTTTTATGGAGTAAAACTTTTATGAATATTTTTTTCCAATTTTGGTCTCACAGAGCAATATGGGGTTTCGGTTTGCTAAATCTGTAAACAGCCAATTCATGTTTACGTTTTGGACTGGGATTCTGCCTCAAATCTAGAACCTTTATTTTATTTTATTTTCTTAACTGTTCCTATTTTTTTATATTTTGGGGGGCGAACATGGTTTAGCTGTCCATTTTTGGCTTCAGGAAGCCATTTCCATGATGAGCTGCTGAGGCAGCCCTGAAATATTTCTGCTTTTTTTTTCTATTCACAGAAATTATTTCGGGCTGCTTTCAAAGACTAGTGATGGTGGCTTGCCTAAATACTGTAGAAATCAATTCCTCTCCTTATCTTTCCTTTTGAAAAAGGATCGCTCCGCTCATTGTCCCAGAGATAAGTCATTTCTCTGTTTGTGTTACAGATCAAGCTAGTCTTCTTTGTCATTTTATAGCCGTCACCCATGCCACAATTTTCACATTCTGCCAGCTGGAGATGGCATCTCTTCTGAAACAAATTTGCTGCTTCCTTGAGCAATTGGTAGCCACCTGCAGTTTGCCATTTTTAAGAGCAGGCAAGGGAACACTGGGGGAATAATTACTTATTAGGGGACTAATTCTGAATGGAAGAAAAAAACAGAGAGATAGGATTACCCCCACTGATTCAGCAGAGAAGTTAGCCTTGTCCTTTAACCGTGACTTAGCTGCAGTGATTCCATCTGTCACACTGTAGGGTGATTTGAAAAGCAAGGCTAACCTTTTGGTTCCTCACAGATCAATTCTTTACAGAGCTTCCACTTTCCAAATATTTTTCATAAGACATTTTAAAACTTAAGAACAGGTAATATATCAACATTTGATATATTTGGCAGCATTCAGCCAGGGTGGATTTTTTTTATGTTTCATGCCAGTATGAATGATATATTTGCTATTTGTTGTTGTTATTATCGTTGTTGTTGTTATTACTTTGTACACATGTTTGTTTTTTATTACTAGTGTCTGATGTTTGGTAGCTTGTTTCTTCTTTTTCTTTAATTTGTATTTTAACTTTGGGAAAAGGTATTAAAATTAAAGAAAAGAACAGATACGTGAATCGCATCTTTGCCTTCTGTTTGAGTGTGAGTGGGATGTGTCTCAAATTGCAGCTTGCAATTGAAAAGGTAGCATGTAGGCTTGTTGTGTCTATGCTTCTTGTATTTGCTTTGTGTTTGTTTTTTCTCTCTCTAAGAAAGAAAAGACCAAGAAATATAAATTCCTGGTAATCCTTGAATTACGACCACAGTGAAGTCCAAAATGTATGTTGCTAAGCAAGATATTTGTCAAGTTTTCCCCATTTTACAACCTTTCGTGCCACAGCTGTTAAGTGAATCACTGCAGTTGTTGAGTTAGTCACATGGTTGTTAAGTGAACCTGGCTTCCCCATTGACTTTGCTTGTCAGAAGGTCGCAAAGGGGGATCACATGACCCTGAAACGCAGCAATGGTCATAAATATGAAACAGTTGCCAAGCTTCAGAATTTTATTCACATAACTGTGGGGATGTTGCAAAGGTTGTAACTCTGAAAAATGGTCACTGTTTTCAGTGCTGTTGTATCTTCGAACAATCAATAAATGAATGTTTGTCAGTCAAGGACTACCTGTACTTGCTATACAGATAGTCCTTGATGTACAGCAGTTCATTTAGTGACCATTCAAAGTTACAACAGCACTGAAAACAGTGGTTTCTGACCGTTTTTCACACTTACAACCCTTACAGCATCCCCATTGTCACGTGATCAAAATTCACACACTTGGCAATTGATTCCTATTTATGATTATTGTAATGTCCCAGGATCATGGGATCACCTTTTGCAACTTTCTGACAAGCAAAGCCAATGGGTAAACCAGATTCATTTAACAACCATGTGACTAACTTAACAACTGCAATGATTCACTTAACAACTGTGTCAAGAAATGTCCTAAAATGGGGCAAAACTCACTTAACAAATATCTCGCTTAGCAATATAATTTTTGGACTCCGTTGTGGCTGTAGGTTGAGGACTACCTTCATTTTCTACTGCTGATTTTCAGACACTCTAATGGCTCCACATTTTAATCAGTTGCAGTTGTTGAACAGTTTTGTTATTTGTTTTCACAGTCTCATGGATTCAGAGATGTTCAGCACTCAGATTCAGATCTGATCCCAGCAGAAAACGAAGCAAATCCTCGTAAAAGGCCACGAACAGACCAGGTAGAAGAACAGTGAATCAGAAAAAATAAATTTCAAGTATGCTTCCTTTTTAAAATGATAGTATTACAAGATGGATATGCAGGTACCTCAGAGAGTAGCATGAATAAAAAGTGTGAATTCAAAGAATTTTCCTTTCATTGCTTCCTTGTTGTGCCTTAATCTCCACTTCAGTGTTTCTTCAGATACAACTTCAGCATTTGTGCGTCTACAGCAGTACATTTCTTATGACATTTGCTTTCCTTAGGGGGAAGAAATACAAAGTCTAATAAGGATTGAATTATCTGCTTGCTGGGGAATAAAACCTGTTGTGAGAAAATTCTTCATGGAACCCAAAACTCAAGAGGACAGAATAACAATAGCGCTTAGACTTATATACCACTTCACAGTGGTTTGCAGCCCTCTCTAAGCGTTTTACAGAGTTAGCCTCTTGCCCCCAACAATCTGGGTCCTCATTTTACCCACCTTGGAAGGATGGAAGTCAACCTTGAGCTAATCAGGATCGAATTGCTGACAGTGGGCCACACAAGTGTTCCCCAAAGATTTTACTACTTCCATTCTGTATGGTATCAAAGTGGAGGAGAATTTTTCTCACCCCTTACCCTCTTCCATCCCCCTTCTCAGTACAGGTTGTCCTCAACTTACAACAGTTCGCTTAGTGACTGTTCAAAGCCATTCAAAGTTACAACACCACCGAAAATAGTGACTTACATGACCACTTTTCACTCTTGCTGCATCCCCAAGGTCACATAATTTATATTTGGCTGCTTAACTACTGACTCACATTTAGGACAATTGCAGTGTCCTGGGTCATGCAATCCCCTTTTTGTGACTTTCTGACAAGTCAGTGAGGAAGAAAGATTTACTTAGCAACCATGTGACTAATTCAACAACTGCAATGATTCCCTTAACAGCTGTGGCAAGAAAAAGTCATAAAACAGGGCAAAACTCATTTAACAAATTTCTCCCTTAACAACATAAATTTTGGGCTCCGTTGTGGTCGTAGGTTGAGGACTACCTGTTCTGCCAACTGCAAATCCATTTACGGATATATTGCCGATCTCTCAGGACTGAAATGCCTGAACATAAAGTAAAGTTGGAAATTATGATCCTTGCAATATAGAAAAAATGTTTTCTTTGGTAATCTCGAAGCAAGAAGAACAGCAAACAAATCTAATAAATTTTTTAAAAAGAGAAAAGCTGAGACAGAATGCAGACCTCGGAGGACAGAAACTGCCTTTGGAAGAATTCACATTTTGTTAAAAAAAAGAAAAGAAAAGATGCCTTGGATAATTTGTGGGAAGGAAGGAAGCTTTTTCGCTGCTGCTGGTTACATGATACACCTGACCTACTAATAGTGATTGGTGACATCACAAAATACACAGATTAAAATACGTGCCTCTCAAGAAATTCACCGAGGGGGAGAAAGAAAGAAAATAAGCGCCCCGAAAAGGACCTACATTTTTCATCTTGATGTTTCGAATTCAGGATGGCCTTGGGGGTCAAAGGACCCTGAGCCTCGGCAACCCCAAACTCTTCCTTTCTCCCCCGAACTCAACGGCTCCAGCCTTTTTTTTTTTTTTTTAACCCCAAGCGCGATCAAAAAGGAAAAAAAAAAACTCAAGCCCGATCTACATAATAAAATATTCAGAGTTCCATTTCGGGAGTGAGACGCGATCCAATTTTGGAATCTGTGAGTCAGACGGAGCTTTCCTGCCAACGTGAAACAAAAGCGAGGGAGCATCGGCGAGGAGGGGACGGAAGGGGAGATGGATGTGGTGATTCAGACCCGACGTTTTGGTGCAGGAGACACGGACAAACAATAGGGACCCACTGTGAACCAGCAAATGCTTCATTTGGGAATAATAGCTGCTTACGTCTTCAACAATGCTGGTTTTGGGGGTGACGTGGAGGTTGACATACAGAACACGCCTGCTTGGCTATATGGAGAAATGGGGGTTGTGATGTCTTCCCTTAAAAGAACCTGGTTAAAGGATTGACACGGTGCTTCCTTTGCCAAGCTGCTAATCTAAACATTGATCTTTTTCCTGATCAATCCAGATTTATTTTACTATGTCATGGCTTTGATTTACAGTACCTTCGTCAAAGAAGGGCTTTTTATTTTCCCTTAAAAACAGCAAATGTTTAACCTCAGGGGACTTCCCTCTTGGTAATACAGATAGTCCTCTGCGTACACCAGCTTGTTTAGTGACTGAAGTTACAACGGCACTGGGGGGAAAAAAGCATCAGGGCTGTTTTTCATACTTACGACCATCTCCGCATCCCCTTGGTCACGATTTACATTCAGAAGCTTGACAGCTGACTCAGATTTATGACAGTTGCAGTGTCCTGGTGAGCAACGTCAATGGGGAAGCCAGATTCACTTAATCATCGCGTTATTAATTGAATGACTGTAATTATTCACTTAACAAGTGATGAGAAATGTCGTAAAATGGGACAAAACTCCCTTAACAGATTTCTCACTTAGCAACATCAATTCTGGGCTCAATTGTGGCCGTACGTTGTAAAACTACCTGTAATAATATTTTTGAAATAGTCTTGGGGCTATAGATTCCCAACAGCAATTCACAGCAGTTTAGAGTTCCAATGTGATATTTTCGTGTCATCGACTTCCTGAAAGGTGTAAAAATACAACTTGAAAAATGCAAGATTGTTTTAAGTTCAAGTATTTTTAGCCTTGCAGAAAGACTTAAAATCTAAAGAGAGGGGTGACGTGGATCCCGCTTGCTTGCTTGCTTCCAAATTCGAATCTTGACTTTCTGTTCTTTAACATCTGCAGGGGCTGAACTAAGACTACTTCACAGATATAAAAATTGAATAAATAAATAAATATCTTTGGGCCAATCATTTGCAGCACCAAATACTGAACCTCATAGGATAAAACATGGGGAGAAACTTCATCCAGAAAAAAGGTAAAGATAGAAGTAGAAATATTTTTTTTGTTGTGAGAGAGTTGTTGCTTTTGGACAAGATAGGAATCTTTTGTCTGCTGCATGTTTATGTACCCTGGATGGAGTTTTTCAATCATCCAAGTCATAGTTATCCAAATGTACTTTTCCAAAAGGCAACTGGGCTTTCTTGGTTTTTTTTTTCTTTGAAAACATTTCATTTCTTGGATGAGAATCAAAACATTTTCAAAAAAAAATTAAGGAAGTCCAATTTTCGAAAAAAGCACCTTTGGGGTAGCATCTGGATATTTGATCAGGGCACAATATAATTGCCAGCCACCAAGTCTCACTGTTTGGCAAACAGTTGTACAATGAGAAGTGTTAATCCAGAACACTTTTAACATAGCTAAATTAAATTTTTAAAAAACCCAAAGGACCTTCTTCCCTTTTTGTAAGCTCCTTCCTTTATACACATCTGGACTTGAGCAGCAAAAAAAAAAAAAAACACCTGTCCCAGCTAGGCTTACCCTAAACCTATGTTATTTTGATTACATTATTAATAATAATCAAAACAAACCAATGAAGTTCATAGAGATACTCAGTGGCAAACGAAATGCCTCAGAATGTTGGTTTTACATTAAAAAATTTTTTAACCTGCAATGCAATCAGTTTTGGACAAAACCTTTGGAATACCGAATAACGAGCGTTGGTAGGGACCTTGGAGGTCTTCTAGTCCAACCCACTGCTCAGGCAGGAAACCCTATACGAAGGGTCTTCAAACATGGCAAGTTTAAGATTTGTGGGCTTCAACTCCCAGGATTCCTGAGCTAATTAATATGACTGGAAGAGGAATTCTGGGAGCTGAAGTCCACAAGTCTTAAAACTGTCAAGTTTGAAGACCCCTGCCCTATACCATTTTGAACAAATTATTGTCCAATCTCTTTAAAACTTCCAGTGTTGCAGCATTCTCTCTCTCTCTCTCTCTCCCTCTCCCTCTCTCTCTCTCTCTCTCTCACGCACAGACACACACACACACACAGGTTTTCTGATCAGAGGATGGAAAAATGCTAGCTGGGGAATTCTGGGAGTGGAAATCCCTACCTCTTAGGTAAAGAAACACTGGGTTATATGGTGTTTTGTAATATAGCGACTCTCTGAAATCGTCCCGTGTTAGAGATCCAGCTCATCATCTGTTGTGTCCGATCTACACAACAGTAGATTCCCTGTTTCTTTATTTTCCGTTCCTCTGTACATCTTCCTTCTGCTTCATGATCTTCTACTGTCTTGGGGCTTAAGCGTCAAAGGCTCAGCCATGCAGAAGGCCGCAAAACCCTCCCATTTAATATCATTAAATTTAGGCAACCTTCTTGAGTTTCTGCACGTATAACCCACCTGCTTTGTAATTAGCGGATTAACATTTGCCCTTGTGCTTTGCCCTTGGACGTAACCTTCACTTTGAGCAGCCTCACCCTGAACGTTTAGCCGCACTCGTGGTAAGGAAAATCTCCCCATAATCCCAGTTTTACTTATACAGCCAGATACCGTTGTTTTCTTGAACTGAGGCTGAAATCATTTTCACACTAATGGGGAGGAGGAAGCGCAGAGGAATTACACATAGCAATGTTATATGGGAGAGAATTCTATAATTATCTCCAAGAAGATGCTGAGCTGTCCAATTTTGTTGCTTGGCTCGAAATGAAAATGTCATCTTGTTTTGGATGGTGGCTTGAAATACTAGCGGTGTCTAACTGCGCGACTCTGAAGGTTCCTGCTGATTATTACTATTAATTAATTTGATGGCTTGGAGAAAGCCCCTCTCTGGGATGGATGTTTCTTTATGGCAGGATGTCGATCACAAACGTATTCCTTGAAGCACTCCACAGCTTAAAAAACTTACTGGGAGCTCCCACCCAAGGCATTATCTCTGCAAACCTAAATTTCCTGACGTTCTTCCAAGTTCCTTTTCGCGTCTGTACTTCAGCAGTGTCTTTCAGGACATCCTCTGATAAGCTTTCCATTTTCTTCCTGTGCTGGGGAAGCTTCCATGTTTTCTTTTCCCTTCAGTTTATTCAAATATCTTTTAGAATCCAGGGTGATTCTTATGTAGCACCAGACGAGGTTCGATCCCTCATTCCTAAGAATCACCACGGTTACAGCAAATTACCATTTCCAGTAACCATTCCTTGGGTGTTCCTGGGAGACACGGGAAGAAGA